AAAAACCTCCGTACATCTAGTATTTAGTTAGGGCAAAAAATAATGCAGGTACATTGTGCATCTCTTTTTTAGCATTCGAACAGGATTCTTTCAATGCAGAAGTTTATATTTATTTGTTTAATGCTGCTTTTCGGCTATTCAAGTGAATGACCATTAACCTATATACATCCATGTCAATAGAAATACATTAAGTCACTTGTAAACTTTGAGTGAAAGGTGTTTCGTCTCGGAATCCTCACAAAGAGGAAATAAAGTATATAAAATGGCCATCAATCTCCTTTAATTTTTTAATGAGAAAAGAAACTACACCAAAAGTGGATAACATTTCTCCTTGAATAAAATCAAAACACATGTATCTCAATATTTGCTACACAGTCATATTCAGCTTCCTCTGGGCAACAGCCAATGCTGGTATATTGTATCTTATAGGTGGTACGGTATCAGGTGCTAATAGCAAAGCATCATCGTCCAATGACTCGAGTTTAAATGAAGTTATATACGGGAAACAGTATGATGACGACGGGTTCATCTACGAGTTAGGGGTTGACATTTCAGATACTCCACAATCCGATATCAACGATCTAATTGAAGGATTAGTTGACAATGCAGACAATGCTAAATTTTCAAATAATGACGTACGCGGTGTTTTTGAAGAGCAGATGAAGAATGCTTTAGATGATGCTGAACAAACTAATCACGTACCCCCCGACGTTAAAGCGAGAAACCCGAGTGCTTGGAGTGACTGGCACAATTTGCAACGTGATGAAAAGCATAAAGGGAAAAATATTAGGATGGTTATTAAATACGGTACCAAGAAGGGATTAGAAGCCATCACAGATACAGCTCTGGGGAGCATTTTTGCGGTTACGGAGACACATTTAAGTGAGTTGCTAAACGGAGATAAAGATGGATTTGAATCTTTTGGCTATTCTGAGGTATTGCCCATAGGTAAGAAATGGGACTCTGCCGTGGGATTAGCTTTTGTAGAAAGTTGTGCTACGAAAGGAAATGGATTTAATACTAAAGCTTCCAAAATAAATTTGGAAAAAGCCTTTCTTTGGGCAGATACTGCTTTGGATAGCCATCCGGATAGGGACCTGTGGGCAGTTGGATTCCTGAATCTGGAGGAGTGGAATCTATGTCTTAGAATTGTTCGTAAGGAATCATATAATACTAAAGCTGAAGCTCAAAAGGCTGCGCAAAGAATTGGTTGCCCTAAAGGCTATTGTGATAATGGGATCTTGGAACATATATCTCATGATGAGCTTTAATTCAACGTTATTCAAGTGTTTCCTACATTAGGAAAATTAATGTTTGAGCATTCCTGGGTCAAGATGTTAATAACCTAATCAGTTTTTTTTCGATGTCATCTATTATATGCCATCTAAAATTACTTGTAGTTATTCTTATAGTATAGATCGGCTGAAGGTGGAAGATCCTCTAGGGTACGTCTTCGGTCCAGAATAAATGTGCGGAAGTTTTTTGCCTGATGTTCATAGGTATAATCAGTTGAATAGGGCCAAGAAGAACATTCTGGAGCATCATGACTAGTATCTTCCCAACTACACCAAAGATACTCAATTTCCAAAGAAGGAATACAGAAATCATCACCTAATGATCTTGATTCCACCAATATTGTAAGAGCAAAATGAGAAGGATCATCAATAAATACCAGTGGCTACTGCAACCCCGAAAACTCACTCTTTCGGGCCCGTCAATGAAAATCAGAAATTTTGCCTTGTGAGTAACATGGCCGTATAGTAACCTCAAATTCGAAATTAATGTCTACGGCCATATCCAGCATAAAGCATGATTACCCGTCCGATCAATAATTATTAAGCTGCTGAGAGCGATGCTGAGTACGTTAGTGGGAGACCATAATGGAAACCATCGTGCTGTAGACTCTTCTTTTTTGCTAATTTTCTTTTTGCAAAAATTTAGTTGCAATTTTTTTTTCATGTTCCGATGACCTTCGCAGATGATGTCGTGATAATATTTTGCAGTCAAATTATACGTACCGAATTAAATGTTAAAGAGGGAAGAGGGTCAAAGAACTAAGGATCTCGGAACTTAGTAAAACCTGATATGAAACATTTTAGAGAATCTGTAAATGTCAAGAATGAAAAAATGAAGAAATGGTAATCGAGCTTTCAATTTCGATACCTCAATCCTGCTTAAAGCTTTGTAAACAAAGTATAAACCAGCCATAATGAATACTGAAATGATAGGGTTTAATTAATTACTGTAATATATGATATTTTTCACCGAGATTCAGGGAACTAATTCAGGAAAGGCTTTTCCATCTTCCGTACAGACAGATGTTTTGTCAAGCTTCAATCAAGAATTAGACAGTGGGCTTAGATTAAATTACAGTTAAAGGATGATACCAAAAAATCTAAACAAATAAGTAGTTACGATTAAAGAAATCATGAACACGATCTCACAATCTTTGCCGTATACTAATGAGTACTTGTTTTCTCCACTTGGGCAAGCTTTCCAATCAATATGCCTTTCATAAGTGATTACACCATGGTTATAGTAAAAACCTTCTGTTGGACTTTTTGTACCACTTACACTCCCAACTTCACCAGTGTCTGGGTTAATATAAACCCCAGTTCATCTTGGTCAATTAAAGTTTTCTCTTGATCGTTCAAAGTCAAAGATAAGTCTTTACCTTCGTCACCACCAACCAGGAACACAAATGGATGAGAACCAACCTTTTCAATAGCAACGCCGTTTAAAGGGTCATCGCTATCAAGCAAAACTTGAGCGTCAAACTTGTACACAATAGGATCATAAGTAGGGGAAGTAACAGCAGCAGCAGCAAAAGCTAAGATGCATAAAGCAGAAAATTGGGATTTAGGAATATCTTGATTACAAAACTTGACAAAAATAACAAACATATGAAATACAATATAAAACTAAACATTAGGATATACAACCAAATACGAGAGAATGATAGGACGAAAAAGTTAAATATAATTTACTTTCGATTGTTATTCTGAATTATTTTTCTCCATTCTTC